TTTAGCAAAAAAAATTAATAAAGTAATGACTATTAACTTATATATCATCATTAATGTATTTTCTATATAAATATTTATTTTGAAGAAAATATTTAAATATATTAATAACTTATATTTTCTAAAATTTTAAAAGTAAAAAAAAGTAAACAAAAATGAAAATGACATATCCATAATTCAAACTGATGAATTTAAATATAAAATAAAATCACAAAAATACATTTTAGATTCATTTTTTCCAAATCGATAAAGTTAAAATAGAAAGATAATAATTATCCTATGTAAACTATTTTTTAAAGGAAAAAATATTATACTTAAATTATTATTAGGTGTTTTGCCCGCACTTGTGGGCTTAATAATTTTACTAATATCTATAAAGAAATATATAATCAATTTAAGTAAATTATAATAAATTATTGTGCATACACTCAAAACATTTAATAATAATCTAAACAGATTATTTCTATATATATAATTTTTCATCATCATATAAATAATTATCATTGCACAAATTAAATGTGAAATTCTCATAAATTTAAAATATTTAGTAATAAATTAATATGTTTTCTAGACATAACAAAAAGAAGTAAAATAAAATTAACTTTAGTAATGTTTTGGATAAGACAATATAAATTATCTATACATATATTCTTTGCAAATTGATTTTTTCATAATTAAATATATATTAACAAATATAATTATTTTTCAAGGTTAATAAAGACTTTATAACATAATATAAAAAGTTAGATAAGGATAATTATCAAATTAATGAATTTCGTTTTTAATTTAGAATTAATTATATATTAACAAATATAACTATTTTTCAAGGTTGATAAACATAATATAATTTTTTTAAATAAGGATAATTATCAAATAAATGAAATTCGTTTTTAATTTATAATTAATTATATATTAACAAATATAATTATTTTTCAAGGTTAATAAAGACTTTATAGCCCAATATAAAATATTTTTAGATAAAGATAAATCTAAAATCAATTGAAATTCGTTTTTTTATTTATGTTTAATTATATATTGAAATTTTTAATTATTCATTAAGGGTATAAACGATATTAACCAGTCTAACTTTTAACGTGAGAGCTCCGTTGCGAAAAATCACTTCGTAAATAATAGTATAGATCTCTACGCATGGTACAAGAAAACTCCTTATTTTTCTATAGTTTTCTTTAGTTTAGGCGGTAAAACATGCGTTGAAATCAAATTTATATTTATAGGTTTTCACTTTTTCTGTTATTTTCTAAAACTATTCAGGTCCAATTCTTTTGTAAATATTTTGGCCCAAAATATTCTTAAAAAGTTTGAGGATCAGGCCTGTATATGGGCGAAGGATTATGCATCACTAGATCACTGGATCACAGGGTGGTAAAAGTACGAACTATTTTTTTATATCGTACTCGGATCGGATCACTTTGTTTTGGTAAAAATGCTAGGATCACTTTGTTTAAAATAAAATAAAATAAAACTCTTGCTACGAGCCTACGATCACTGATTTTCAACAACGATTAATCTTTGTAGTTATCAAGATTTTGATAAGCTTTTTCGTTTGGCCATCTGACTCTATTTTGAAGAATTCTACGATCAACAGCAAAAGAATAATGTCAAGTGGTAAAATATGAATATCTAAATAACAGTTGCATATACGTGTATATAGGATGCATACATACGTCTATACGGAAGTCTACGGCATTTTTAGCTACATTCCATCTCTAAAAAGGTCAAAACATCAAAAGTTCAAGCTCTGCTGACTATTCATCATGCGATTGTAAACATGCATGATACATATAGCAAATTCTATACTCGACAAATTAATAAACACGATACCACTTTTCTGTCTTGAATTGGATCAATTTAAATATGATAAGAACTTTTTAAAATATTTTATGTTTTTATGTAAATATGTTGAAAGTAAAACTAGAAATTGAGATTCATCTTGTCTCTTGGATAAACCTTACAGTTTTTAGAGTTGATCATTCGTGTTTTAGTGTCAAATCTAAAAAAGTTGTTGAATAAACCTTGCAATTTTGCTATTATCTCACCGTCGTTCGAAGTTCACCTAGTCCCTCCAGTGAGATTTGTTGAGGTTACTGCTGTACTTACGGTTGAGATAGACTCTCCCTCACGTCCCTCTCCATAAGAGGTGAATCATTTCCGATTTTCAAGCTTGTATTGAATTCTTCCAAATCCCTTCCACTAAGATATTTAAACATCATTGTTTCACACTATTTGAAACTTATTTGAACTGTGGTTTCTAGTATTCAAGTGAAGATTATCCGCGGGTTGTATTGTAAGTTTATTATTAAAGTGACGATCCCTGGGGGTTTTGCTTTTGTCCATATCCACAGTTTTCAACGTTTGGTTTTGAGTTCAGATATGCGTTCATGCTTTTTAGGCATATTGATATAATAAATAGATAATAATGGTCGACAAGTTTACTAAACCGCGTTTGTGGCAAGTAGCAACCATCCGATTATTCACTAAATGCGCCTCTCTGAAACTATGATTTTTGTACATGCGTATGCGCTGGATCGTGTACCTCTTTTGTCGAAGAAACACAGCAAATTTTTTATGAAAAAAAAAACAAAGCAAATTTTACCCAAAAAAAAAAAGTAAAGAAACAAAGCAGTTTTCGTAGGCTATAATACAATAACGGGCCCTATAATAACCTAAGAGCATTAACAACGCAGTGTCTTATGGGGTTGCTTAAGGCATGGGCCCCCACTAAAACAATAAGCTGCGATGTTTCTGCATCCAAAATAAGCAACATTGTTTCTTTGATGCTTGCACTATTTGCGGGCCCCACTGACACGTGGCGGCCCGCAATTGGCTTAATTTTTAATTTATTTTTTCTTTTATTTTTTCAAACCAAAAAAAGGAAAAAAAAAAAAATAAGCACCCCAACATTAGAGTTGTGGGTTGATGATGCTCTAAGAGCCAATTTGAAAATTTTCCTCGTGTACATACAATCGTACTAGTACTACTAATAGGTTGCGAGTTCGTATCCCAATATTGTCATTAATGGGTTATTCAGGAGTTACAAACAAAAGTTGTCATTACAAGATTATTCAAACACAACTTACATGATTTTTTTTTCTTTCTCTAAACCAGCTTTACTAGTTTTACATATATAAAAAATTTATAGTAAAAACAAGCTATGAAAGCTGTTAAATCCATGGGGGCCAGCAGTCGGTGTGCCAGAATTTTCACTCGTCATGTCTTTATAATAGATATATATCTACTAAAGTTTGCTCAAAAGACAAAAAGGATATCTACTAAAGTGCCATATTTTTAAAAGTGCCATTTTCAGTTATATTAGTAGATTTTATTTGTCGATTATCTTATATATTAAAACAGAAGTCATGACTTGATTTCATGTGTGATTTTTTAAAAAATGGACTATTACTAGAAAGTTATGTTACATTAACTCTCTAATAATTTTATCATTGTATCTATAATAAACAAAGATACATTTAACAATTTAGTTTTAGTAAATTACCCCACACCTTCCAACTTAGTCACGCAAAATATGTCAATAGATATAAGTTTAAGAATCTTCTATTATTTATAAGTAAATATGTCAATAATAGTTAAATACATCCATAATATATTAACAAAAATCACAGATTAGTAATATGGAATATTTATATATCCTAACAAAACTTACACGCTATATATATTAGATAAATTTATGTCGATGTAAATTTTTAAAATTATATTTTTTTTTTAAAAAAAGAAATTGTTTAAAAATTCCTTTTTAATAAAATTCTTTATAATATTAATTTATGAAGCTATAAGTTTAGTTTTTAGCAAAAATTTCTTCGAAATTTATATTATCTTTGCAAATTAAAGTATACTAATATTTAATCAAACTCTATTTATATTACTTTATGTAAAAATAAAATACTAATCTAACAAACAATAAAACATAAAATAAGAAACAAACACATGTTTGAAAAATATGTATAATATAGCAATTTTGAAACAATCTATTTGATTAAAACACTTATTATATAATATTATTTTGTTTGAAAAACATTTACTATACATATCATAAATATGTGATTACTATAATATATACTAATTTACAAGTGAAAACAAAATGTTTATATAACTAAGTATAAACGAAAACAAACACCCGCGCGGTTGCGCGGATCAAAATCTAATTATCATTTAATTGGATTTGAATGTAGTAATGATACATCCGACATACTATAGATGAGCATGTTTATCCATGTCTCTTAACTAAGTATCTTAGGATAATTACAATTAAAAATAAAAGAAAAAAAGAAGAAAACACAAGAGATGTACCTTATTTAAGAGAAGCAACATACGTTTCTTCCACCACGTGTTACATATTTGTTGAGTACAGGAGAGATCTGTGGTTGCTGTTTTGTTTCTTCTTTTTTCTCACTTTCTCTCTCTTTCTTTCCTCTCTTCTTTTATGTTTTTTTTTTAACTAAGAACTCACCTAAGACTTCTACCAATAAACATGCTCTTAGAAGTGCCATTTTCAGTTATATTTGCGTGCGTTGTAATTAGCGTATATTTTACCATTAAAAATGTGTGTAATGTTTTCGGTTGCAAATTGCTTCAAAAAGCCGTACTGTACCGTAGGATTACACAGTGTAAAATGTAGATACATGAATAGGGATCAACGAACATTCCTCGCTAATTCTGACCTTCTCTACCAAACCGACGAAAGTCAATTCAATGCACAGGGCTGTCACCCATTGTTCCACTTTATTAAGAAAACTTATTAATCATCACATTTGAATTAATCACCCATTCACCCTTATAAAATATAAATAAACATCAAACACACGAAACATAAAGATTGACTCTTCAATCTTTAACCACTAGCAAATCGATAATCTACAATTACTTTTCTACATCATTAATAAACATAATTTTCAACGGAAGTGGTTACACCCTTTGCTATACATATACAACCTTATACTTAGTCCCATTACCAAAACACAAACAAAAACCATCTCAAAATGAGAGAAGAACCTTTCTTCCAGTGCCGTTTCTTGGCTTCTTGTCTCATCTTCTTCTTCTTCGTCCATCTTCCTCAAGCTTTCACTTACAATGCTCATCTCATCAACCCATGCTCCGCACATGGGTTTCCTCCCATTTTTAACCCAAGGCTCTTAAAAGCTTACAAAGCCCTTCAATCATGGAAACACACTATAACTTCAGACCCAAATGGCTTCACTTCTAATTGGTGTGGTCCTAATGTTTGTAACTACACGGGTGTGTTCTGTGCACCGGCTTTAGACAACCCTTACATCTCAACCGTAGCCGGTATAGACTTAAACCGGGCCAACATCGCCGGTTATCTCCCGGTAGAGCTCGGTCTCTTAACCGATCTCGCCTTATTCCATATCAATTCCAACCGTTTTGAAGGTCAACTCCCTAAATCTCTAAACTGCCTCAAGCTTCTTCATGAGCTTGACGTCAGCAACAACAAACTCTCCGGCGAGTTTCCGTCCGTAATCTTCTCTTTACCTTCTTTGAAGTTTCTTGACATTAGGTTTAATGAGTTCTACGGCGATGTTCCTAGCCAACTCTTTGACCTAACCCTAGACGCTCTCTTCATTAACAACAACAAGTTCCGGTTTAGGCTACCGAAAAACATCGGAAACTCTCCTGTTTCGGTTCTTGTGTTAGCCAACAACGATCTCCAAGGATCTTGTCTACCTCAGAGTTTCTACAACATGGGGAAAACATTGCACGAGGTTATTCTCACGAATAGTCAGATTGGCGGTTGTTTAAACCGGGAAGTCGGTTTGCTAAACCAGTTAACCGTTTTCGACGTGAGTTTCAACAACTTAGTAGGTTCGTTGCCGGAGACTATGGGTGATATGAAGAGTTTAGAGCAGTTAAACATCGAAAACAACAAATTCTCCGGTTACATTCCGGAGAGTATCTGCCGGTTACCGAGTCTAGAGAACTTCACTTACTCGTATAACTTCTTCTCAGGAGAGCCACCGGTTTGCTTGAGGCTTCAGGAGTTTGATGATCGTGGAAACTGTTTACCTTTAAGACCAATGCAACGGTCTCCCGCAGAATGTAAATCTTTTTCTTCTTATCCTATCAATTGTGCTTCTTTCGGCTGCTCTCCGCCTAGTCCACCTCCTCCTCCACCACCATCGCCACCACCACCACCACCATATGTGTATCCGTCGCCTCCTCCGCCACCATATGAGTATCCTCCACCACCGTGTGCTCTTCCAACACCGGTGCATTACTAATGTTTCTGTTGGTTATATGTGCATCCAACAGTTGAAACGTGAAACTCCCATTGTGTTCTACGTTATGTAACGCTAGTGTTCACTAAATTGTACTTTTCTCTGTATTTTCTTTAATTTTTTTTTTTAAATTGAGTTAAGTGTTGTGAGGAACATTTTTAGTTATGTGAAAATTGATGGGAGTTGTGTGTAATCTGGCAAGAAAGATCTGTTGGATAGTTATTTGGAGTGGATGCTTTAGTGTTCGTCAATTCAAACACCATAATTGGTTCTAAACATATGATTTGTTTTAGTCACATTTTCATCGACGTTATGGCATTTACTGTAAGCATTATTTTACTAAATTCGATGGAATTAATCAACCATGCGCTTTCATTTTCATCTTCCAAACAAATAAATCACATTTGGGGCAATGTGCCAAGTTGACAACAGCATGTAAAACCGTGTTTCAGGTGGAATCAGTAACAACTACTTGTGTAGATTAAGGAATATTTATTTCATTTGCTACAAGCCTACAACTCGAAACTAAGAGCACCTCCATCAAGGGTTCAGATAGGGGGTTCACACGGTTTTCAAAAAAAAAAAAATATTAAAATAAGGAATAGTGATGAACCTGCCTCTTGCAGACTCTCTGCGATGAACCCGGTTCATCACTGTAGCGCGGATCCCGGGACACGTGGCGACCCGCGGTTGGTCAATATTTTTTTTTTTTTTTTAAAAAAAATCAAAAAAAAAATCAAATTTTTTTAATAATAAACAATTAAATCAATGAACCCCAAGAGGGGGTTCATTGATGTGGATGCTCTAACCAAATTAAACGAAAAAAAGGAAAAAAATTAATGAAAGCCTATTTAGTGAGCTTCGGCTAAACTATACAGATATTACAATTGGGCTAAGAAACGAAAGCCCAGGCATCGAGCTAGGAAATTTGGTATTGGTTTTGAACCCAAAACTGGGGCCAGTTCAGGATAAACCGGACATGAAGAAGGGGGATTCAAGGAGACAAAAATACTGGTGCAAACTGCGAAGTTCATTTGTCTTTACCAAACCGACCATGCGACCTTTAGACCACGACACTTCACCACCGTTAAAACATTGACCATTCACCCACCAGGCCACCACTGATATACTTTTACGTACACAAACTAAGTTCCTTTGTGGCTTGGCTTCATCAGATAAATCATGAAAAAACATATAAGAAGACTATATTTAAGCACTGGCCTCAACATTATAGGATTGTGTTATCGTATGAGGATGCTTATAATCATTACAGGATATTAAAGCATTGGCCCCATGACCTTATGGTCCATGCATGAAGTATACAAAATCCTTCTGCCTTCTTACGGAATGATAAGAGGACTTTACAGAATGATAGAGTTGCAAGTGTTGGAGTGCATTCTTTTAAACAACCAAAAAGGAAGAAAAAAACACAATTATGTGCTTCTACTTTCTTTTCTAGAAAGATATTATTTGCTTCTTACATATACACTTTGAGACATCTCACCTTTTTTATGCTTACAGGTGACTCCTTTTTCGTTTTTCCTTTTGTTTTAAGGAGATCTTGATGACCCCTTGGCCCTTAGTGATACCTTTTGTGATCTTGAAGATATTGCTATTAATGTTTTTTGGTGGGCTTGTATGCAAAAGAAACCCGATTTTAGAGACTAAGGTTAGGTTACATCTTCATATATATGGGGTACGTAGGTTTGGTCCACAAGTGAAGCTAGAAAAAAACCTACAATGCCATTTTGTACATATTTTACTAGGTGATTATCCGTGCGCATGCGGTAATAAAAATTTTATACTAAAAATTGTTTGAACACTAATTTTGATCGTTTAACCATCGTGTTATAAATATCAAACGTATAGTTATGGAACGTTAATATAAGGTTGTTGAGTATCATGTCATGTTGATTTTTTTTTAAAACCTATTTAATTTACATTAGACTTCAATGATATCATCGGGGTGTTGCAATTCGTCTTCTCACTTCTGTATAAAGGATTATATTTATGAAATGATATCATCAAATAACATTTAAGATTCGAACTTTCCCAGAATGAACATTAATTATTTGTTGTTAAAAAGAACATAATTTAATTATGTATACAAGTTATTTATACCTATTATTATTTATTTTTTGTTCATTTACATATTATGCAATAATAAATATACTGAATAATTGAGAATTGAGTAACTATTATGTATATAACTAAATTTGAGCACATAAGGAAAAGTGATCTCTCTTTTTTATTTAAAATAATTTTTGTTGGTAAAAAAGCAAAGCAATCATTTATTTATTTTATATGGTATATAAATAAAGTTAAATAATATTGACATAGATATATAGTATATTTTGATACGAATATCTATTAATCGAGGCTTCCTAATCAATGCAAATTTTTAAATTAATATTTTATATATGATATTTATTTTATTTAAACGGTATATATATATTTATTTATTTTAACCTAATTATATATTAAATGAGACTTCATAATTATATAATTTTATAATCATTTGTATTTTGTTATAAAAAAAGTTAAACTATTGATCACAAATTTTTCATTGTGGGAATTTTAATAGTATTAATAATTTATAGTAGTTCAAAAAAAATCAAAATATAGCATATAAGTAAAAAATCAAATTTTTATTATATAGTTTATGTGATTGTTTAATTTCTTTTTAAAATATAAAATGAAGCAAAAAGGATGATGATACAAAAATTGTTAGCAAATCTTTATTATTCAAAATTATTAATTGTTATATATATGTTAACCATATTAGATAATTTTGTAGTTTTTATTTAAGAAAAGAATGTAAAATATTTTTTTGAACTATTAATTAATTTAATAAAAAAGTATAATATATGTTTAGATGGACCAATTTTTTTCTAAGGATTTTAAGAAGCATTGTAGTAATAACACGTGACTAACAAAATATGTTGTAGTGTTTTTCAATTAATATATAGGGTATATTATAAATGGAAAAAGATCTATCAATTTTCAATTGAATATCCTTTAGGTTGGTTTAAACAATCAATTTTCATTTATTGTTCTTTTGTATACAAATTCTATTACCTTTTTTTCTCACATACGGATACATCATACATGTAATGTTTTTTTTTTTAACATATCAAACATGTAATGGTAGCCTTTTGTTTCCAGTCGATTTGTAAGTTTTGCATTCCCACGTAATTAGAACACACGACGATCGATATATATCAACATCAAGTTTGTGGATTGGCTGGTAAGAATGATTGCGTCACCAATTTAATAACATGGCATGTTTAAGATTTTGTGGCAATCAAACAATGATCTATCGTTGTTTAGCTATAAAAGAACGTATATATGACTGATTATTTTTATTTTACATAATATAGTTCAACTATGTCGTTAAAAAAAAATATACCAGCTTTGCTACTAAAAAGGATTATAAGCATTGATATATACATATATATATTGCCACTGTTTTATTATTTGTTACTCCACCACTAGGTGTTTTGCCCGCATTTGCGGGCTTAATAATTTTACTAATATCTATAAATAAATATATAATCAATTTATGTAAATTATAGTTCATAGACTCAAAATATTTAATAATAATCTAAACAATTTCTTTCTATATATAAATTTTTTCATCATCATATAAATAACTTTCATTACACAACTTATATTTGAAAATACTCATGAACTTAAAACATTTAGTAATAAATTAATATCATTTTTAGACATAACAAAAAAGTATAAAAAATTATCTTTAATAATGTTTTGGATAACACAATATAAATTATCTATACATAATTTTTTTGCGAACTGATTTTTCATAATTAACTATATATTAACAAATATAATTATTTTTCAACGTTAATAAAGACTTTATAACACAATATAAAAAAGTTAGATGAAGATAATTATCAAATTCATGAGATTCATTTTTAATTTAGAATTAATTATATGTTAACAAATATAATTATTTTTCAAGGTTGATAAAGACTTTATCACATAATAAAAAAAATTAAAATTATGATAATTATCAAATAAATGAAATTCGTTTTTAATTTATAATTAATTATATATTAATTAATATAATTATTTTTCAAGGTTAATAAACACTTTATAACCTAATATAAAATAGTTTTAGATTAAGATAAATATAAAATCATTGAAATTCGTTTATTATTTATGTTTAATTATATTAAATTTTTTAATTATTCATTAAGGATATAAACGATATTAATCGCTCTAAGTCTCATCATGAAAGTTACAAATTAATCAGCAAATTCACTTACATTTTATAATTGAAAATATATTTTTAAGATAACAATCTAATACAAAAGAATTAACATATTTTCTAAAAATATAATATTATTAACATAATTTTTTTTTATTTTATAATAAATTATTAAAACATGAAAATAAGAAAAATAACCTAAAATCATGAAGAAGTTGACAACTAAGCAAATTTAATTTTAAAATAATAATTCAAAAATATATTTTTAAGATAACAATCTAATACATAAGAATTAACATATTTCTAAAAATATAATATTATTAACATAAATTCGTTTTTATTATATAATAAATTATTAAAACATGAAAATAATCAAAATAACCTAAAATCATGGAGAAGTTGACAACTAAACAATTTACTTATCAAATAATGTTATCGATTAATTAGTACACGCGCGCATCAAAATATGATATGCCCGGTATCATGCGATGGGAGTTGCAGAAGTAAACTAGCAATTAAAGTAATTGTTAAACCTTTGCTTATTTGATCGGCTACTGCTTCGCTAGTGGACTTATGCAAATGAATAGTATATGATTAATTAAGAAAATATCAAAAGTTAATACACGTGAACAAAAAGACTGCTATAGAATACTTCAATGTGACTCTTTTTATAAAGTGGCTTGATTCCAATTATTAATAGAACGTCATATTTAATAGATCCATAAAAATCAAAATATATGGAACTTGCATCCTCACTCCTTACATCATTGTAGACATGCTTTTTTTTTTCCTTTTTTTTTGTGTGAATATCATTGTAGACATGCTAAATGCTAATATATAAGGAGGGTTTGAAGTTTTCTAAATTATTCGGTATTACGCATTAATTAAATTATAGTATTTTAGAACACATGTCATAATGAGTTGCAAGCTTGTTGAATGATCATTATTGGAGATATATTGAGGAGCACTGTGGGAATCTCCAACAATGACACCAAATTTGGTGTCAAAATTACACCAAATTTGATGTTTTGGTGTCAAACTTCTTTGTCATCTCCACAACAACACCAAATTTTATATCAAAGTGCTATTATATTTTTTGTTTCA